GAATCTGTTTCAGGTGGTTCCTTCCCACGCGCTGCGGTCCTTCCTCTGTTGCGTCCGCACTCAACCACTTGTCTTTGCACACCACTCAGTCACTGTCTTTGGGATCTTCAGCAGCACAGGCAGGGACCTTGGTCGCCGAGGGGCAGGATCGTCTCGGGTTAAGTAAGGAAAGACGCAGAGACGAACGCCCTCTCCTTCGCGAGGGCCACGGAACAAGGTTATGGGGTCGGTCGTCGTGATGTGATGATGATGGACCGGAAACTTTCCCTGGACTCGTAAGGTACGACGGAATGGACGTACATGCTACTGCATGGGTTCTGCCAAGGCCAGTATACTCCGTGTATAGTCTGCTACACCTCAGATAGATGGGAGGACGCCAATCGACGCAATGGCGATCGCCCTTTCCAGAGGAGGGGGGAAATTGTACCATGTACCATGGACACGACACATACTTGCCCTCACTTCACCCAAAGTGCCCGAGGAAGGAGGAGGGCGCCTTGAAACGGTAAGCATGCGAGATAAACAGAGGAGGAAGCTGCGACGCCAAAATAGGCTTCACCGGTGATCAAGGGCTGCAGGGTGCTACTGCTCGCCGGAGCCAACACCATTGAACCGCCAGCTCAGCACCATCTCGGTACCAACATGCACGCTGGCGCGCCGGGTGTCCACCAGAAGCCAATGAGTGAACACAGAACAGCGGCGAACGGCAAACGACAAACGATAAACGACGAACGACGAACGACGAACGACGACGAGCGAGCAGGCCCCCAAACACACCTCCAGGCTTTGACACGAAGACGCGTGTGTGTCAGCGTCTGCCTCTGCGTCTGCCTCGGGCGGCCCCCCCGCCCCATGACGCGCTTCACGAGATTAGCTGAAGGACCAGATAAAATCGGAGAGGTTCGTTTCGTTGCAGGATACTCCTTGCTTCCAACCAGGGTCCCCCCCCCCTCACCTCACATCACCACCACTCCTCTTCCCCTCTCCCCTGTCTTGGCCCAACCCCCAAACCCCCCTGATCCTTTCACTTTGCCGTCGGTTCCTGGTCCATCAGGCCCATCAGGCCCATCAGGACCCATCACTGAACCTGACCCCCGTCATCCTTCTCGTCCTTCTCTCGTCCGTGTGTCGCTCAGTCCCCTCTTCGGAGCGGAGCAGAGCAACACAGCGCAGAACAGAGCACGCTCTTTTCTCCACCTTGCCCGTCCTCTCGCCCACCCATCCTCCGCCATCCATCCTTTCTCTCGACTGCTCTACCAGGTTGGTCACTGACCTTGGATCTTGTTCCTGACTAACGAAACCCGCTTCTCTTCGCCCCGGTCGCCCGCAAGCCTGCTAACGCAATTTTGCTTCTTCCCTAGCTCTCCTC